TGGTGCTTTAAACCTATGCATGAAAAGATATATTTTGTTTTTGACAAGTAGTAATAGTGCTGTTTTTTATGTGATATTAAAGATTTAAGTGTTATGTTTGTAAAATATGAAAGTTTAGATGTGAGATATGTAAAAATATAAAAAGTTAAGCTGTAAATTACCTTTTCTAAGCAAGGACGAGCATCCTTGAAATCAAGAGCCACCAGAGCAAGAGCAGCAGTAATTGCAGTCCACGACATGTTGAGCCCAACTAAAAGAGAAATCAGCATTCCAATGGTAACCGCATAAACGCTCGTCTTCCACATCCACCTCTTCCACTTCTCAGCTGCACTATCCTTCTCTTCTAAAGAGTAAGACGAAGAAGTTTCTCTCGAAGAATCAATACTATGGCTGCTCATATTTCTAGAATATCTTCTTGTGGAGGATCCTTCCTCCCTTCTCTGCGAGATTCCAGTACTTCCAAGTGCTTCCATTGATGAGCTCGAATTCCTCGCAGGTTCCATTCCTCCACTAAGTCTGCTTCTTGTAGAATTAGATGGACCAGAATCCATGACTGGCGATGGGATCTGTTCAAGGGTGGTGGAATTGAGTTCCTCGGAGTTTGCGTAACTAAGATGCGACATTGTTGCGGGCGAGAAACGGTGAGAAATCACATCGTTCTCAGCAAACAAGTCTCCTGCTTCTTCTACAACTTCTTGATCCCTTTCGACGGATAGAAGATTCCAAAAGTAGGCGAGGAGAACGGTGGCATTGACGAGCACGCCCAATAGCATAGCAGGAAAGATTCCGAGCAGGAATTTCTCAAATGAAATCTTGCTTTGAACAGCGATAACTAGGTTTTGAGGGTTACCGATGGGAGTTGCAGCGGAGCCAATGTTGGAGCTGGAAGCTAGGGCTAAGAGGAAGGGTTGAGGGGGTAGATTATTTTGCCTTGCGATTTTTAAAATGAATTCGGTGAGAACGACACAGGAAGTGTCGTTGGTGAACAGAGCGCTCGCAAATGCGGAGACGAGACAGACACGAAAGAGCAAATCCTTGCCTCCTCTGCTCTTCCATGAGAGCAATTTACCGAGGTAGATGAACATGTCGGCTCTTTCCAGGTAGACGCTGACGACCATGGTTCCGAAGAGAAGACCGAGTATGGGGAGATCAATGGATTCGTAAGCTTCGTCGGGCGATATGACGCGGAAGATAACCATGAGCATGGCGCCGAAGAGAGCACCAGCAGTTCTTCCGATGGGTAGGAAAGGCACTGCAGGGAAAACAGCTAACATCCAGAAAAATCCAAATGCGATACTGCCTAGACATACCTTTGCGGTTGATGCCATCGCCATTATTCCTCAGAAAGAACCAGGTTTCAGCTATTGCTTCTAAAAAGATCTTGAAACAATCTCAGAAATGCAACCTAATGCCGTCCATTGGGAGGTGGAGAACTTCCACAGGTTCAAGAAATTTCAGATTCCGAACAGAAAGGTTCAGCTGATCGATCGAGGAGTATTTGCGTGGCGAGTGCCATGTTAGAGAAGAGGTAAATAAACAAAACTCAAACCCCAATCCCCAAACCAAAACCTTTTCGAGGAATAATTTCGGGGCGAGACAGATCCATTGGAGCAAAATAATAAACAGGACCAGAAAGATTAGAACCGGCGATCCAAAACTTGATTTTGAGCAGAATTTGCGAGAAAAGAGATCGACTTGGATAGGGGACAGATTAGTAGAAGTTGAAGAGAACCACACTTCTTGTCCTTGGGATGGAGCCATCCAAAATCAGACAAAATTTTGTTCGCTTTCTTGCTTTGGTCCCAAGCTCAATCTCTCTCAAGTTCGGCGGGACCTTTCGTCATCCATTAATTGTATTGTAACTTTTGTGCACGAGATGCTGGTGATTTTTTTT